AACCAGGACTCAAAGGAGCCTCTGACGACGACAGCCTCCTCATCCATCATCCTCGCAACTCTAGCATTCAGTGTTGCCGCGTTCGCACTGCATGAGACACTACAAACGCAACTGTTATCCCAGGACGTCCTTCTGGCTGACTGTATTGCGCAACATCTTGGACGCATGGACTGTCCAGAGGCCGCCGAGGCTTCTCTTAACTTTGACTACCTTCACACCTACGCCCAGCTACAAATAACTTATTCGACGCTTATTACGCTAGGTGCAGTTCTCACCACCACAATGGCCTCAATGGAACCTGTTGATTTTGGTTCACTTGACCAGGTCATGCTCTGCTTTCCTTCTGGGCGCCTAGCACACAGACTGGCAGTTCGATTGAGCCTGCTGCCACAGGGTGAACGACAGAAGGAGGTCTGTGAAGTCATCTTTCCTCGTTTGGTTGAGGAAGGCAGAAGAGACACGACGTCCCCCTGTCTGACACAGAACGCTCTCAGCCAGCTGACAGCTAATTACGCGCGAATTATCGCGTTTGTGGATAGGTTGCTGGAGGGTCGGAGGTAATCCATGTATGCACGCGGTTAAAGCTCACTGCGGTGCTACTTTTTGTTATTCATTCTTACGGTCAAAGTCCAGCCTTTATTCGCCAGACTGAGTATTTTTATGCAACTACCCTCCTCCTCGATTTAAACCTATTGCTGATATTTTTGTACCCGATTAATTCATCTTCTGTTTCCCAGTCTTATCTTTCATAATGACTAATCACAGGGGTCTAAGTGTTCCTTAAGGTTTGAGCCTGTCGGTGACGCGGACTAATTACCTTCTTCCTTCATGCGACTGTATTTTAATGATGTTGAACAACCGTAGGGCAGGTCATCCACTTCCCATTGGTCGTCCCCGATGTTTGTACACGGCACAGCTCTTTGTGAGAAAAGGTCCTCAAGTGTAGCCTTATTTGTACCCATACTCCATTAAGTCTTCCGAATGTCATTAGACTCCCATAATTTCTGCAGACTGCGTTGCGTTGTGGGCGGCCTTGGTAATGGGAAGATGCGAGCGCACAGCCCCACATTTCTCTATTCGTCATCACAGTTGCATCTAATGCCGACGTAAAGACAATGCCCTGCTCTTCAATCTACTTTGTCTGCAAAAAAACATAAAAGCCGTCTAAAGTCACTTTTAGTCACTTTATTAAGGGAAAAAGGCTTTCGCCTTTGAGCTCCCTCTTTATAACCAATAATCGCAAAATAGGTCCACTGTAACAATAGTACATACATATAAATGTAGGCTTAACATCAGCGATAGTATGAGCCAGTTGCAAGGTGCTGCTATGAAACCTTGTTCATTATATCTGTCACAATTTCTCAGCACTATGCATCCCATTTCACATTTCGGACCTGCTGGTAGTAGCGGCAAGTGTTTCACCTATTAAATTAACCCAATATGATAGTACTTGCTGTTTTTTAGCATTTATTGCGCTTACATAATTCAAACTAGTCTACAAGTTATTAAAGAAACTTTTAAAAAATAGTGGCATCTAAAATGTACTAAAATGTGGGTGGGCTGTAGCCATAATGAATATATACGCGTATGCACGGAACGGCTCGTTTCTGACCTTTTGAAGAGCAAGACTATGTGCCAGTCCCTCCGCAACCAGACTTCATAATAGAAGGGTTGTCAGCGCTTTAGGCCCACTTGCTTAGAGTCAAGATTTCCCAAACTGATTCAGTTTATTTTGTGTTGAAATACGAAGTCCAAGTAACCGATAGCACAGGCACAGATGAAAGAATGCCAAGATACCCACACCCGCGTTAATAGGCGCCATTACGAGTGTTTTTTCCGATTGGGTGTGGCGCGGACTGCGATTTCGAGTGTGATCAACGCGCTTCATTGAACCCATGTTGCATAAACAGGATGTGTCATCCATCAGCGCATAGTCGGCACTGCGGCTGACTTTGAATATACAGTATGGCGCGTGATAGATGAGGCATTCCGCAATTTGAAAAAGGCCTGTAACCACTGGCAAAGCAAAATTGATTAGGATTTATCATGCAGTCCAATTTTAAATATTTTCAGTAACGCTAGGATGCAGACTACGTGATAGACTTCTTTTTGACCGCTGCGAAAACGCTGATTTTGTAAAAAATGGCTGCTTCGGTATACCTTATTTGTATCATTGATTTTGACTGCCTTTATAAATTCAAATTTATTTTATGGAAAGCATGCACAGGAAATCCTACATTGTACGTATTTTATAGCTTAATATGCCTCGTTTTAATATTATTCTTAAAGGAAGGGTGTCCTTCGGTTTTTAAAAACGTTTCGTAATTGTCGAGTGATTTGGAATGCTACTGAATGCTAGAACTGATGTCAAGCTTTAAAAACAGAATGCTGTGTTTATGCTGTTTGAGGAAAAGTACTTTCTTGCATATGGTTTAAAGAAGTGGTTGCATAGCTGTCGTAGAATTTCGCAAAAGACATGGATTATGCTGTATATATCAGTGGCAGAATCAATAAATTGACAGATACGATGTATTATGAATGAACACCACACAGTCGTAAAAAACTGAAAATTGGAATTTTTTTCCAGAAACGAAGGAAACCCCTCCTATAAGAATAAAATTTGAAGAAGGCGTGATTTGCTGTAAGATAGGTACAAGAGAGGATTTTTTCGTCCATGCTTCCATAAATTATATTTTGATTTATAAAGGCAGTCAAAATCAATGATAAGAATGTATACTATTTAAGTAGCCATATTTTACAGAATCAGCCTTTTCGCAGTGGTCAAAAAGGAGGTCATCACATAGTCGTCATCCTAGCGTGATTGAAAATAACTGAAATTGGACTGCATGGTAGACTGAATTGCAACTGTAATGTTTCATGCAGCACTCGCCATAGTGTACCTGATCACCATTGACGCGACATCGGCTGATGCGTTTAGGCCTTTCACTTTAAAAATGCGATGGCTAACTAAGCCTGCGTTTCCCTCTGAGGTCAGAGAATGAAATCCAAGGCAATGCAAGACAAGTGCTTTCCTTTTGCGGTCGTCAACGTAATTCAAACTAGCAAGACGACGAGGTCATGGCGCAATTGTTAGAGCGTTCGACTGTTATCGGAAAGGTCGCGAGTTCGATCCTAGGCTTAGGAAACCCGACAGCAGCCATTAAACACCAAATTTATATAATAGGTATTCAGTCATTGCCGACATCGGAAAGCGAAAGTTGAGTGACCAAATTTGACGTATGAGCCGCCGTGGGCCAGTCATACCAGATCCCACGTAATGCTTCGCCCGAGGCAAGAACTAACAACCTGCGGATTAGAAGACCAGAACTAGAAAAATTGCGCGTCGAGCTCGTTGTCCTACTTGTTCCGACCGCGGAGATACACAGGTGTAGACAAGCAGTATATCGAGAAGTCTTAAGGTTTTAGCCCGAATGGCTGCGATCTTCCAGCCCAGCTTCTTAGGAGACGAGAGAAGTCTTGGAAAGCCAGAACAGTAGGAAGGTTATCTTCTGTACAGAATAAGTAGGAGAATAGGTATCCGACGGATTGACTCGGTCTGGAATGTTGTTTGACCCTGAGACCGTGTGGGAGCACGGCGTCATCACGTCCGCTCCGCGCGGGGAAGGAAGGCAATGTGAGCCTACTGTGATTTATCCCAAGCGGGGACCGAAAGTTTTCTTTGTTTGTTTGGTGATTAGTTAGATAGTGCGATGGTATACACCGGCATGGGCGGTCCCTGTCTCGCGCGCTAGTTTCTGCCTGGTCGGAGGCACGCCGAAAAGTGCATACGCGTGAGGTCCTGTTCTGTGTGACCTTGTCTGTGGCATCAAGAGGTAGAAGGGCGTCGGTCAACTGCGACCACTACAAGTCGTCATTTTTTTTTACGGAATCTACTCTTATCATTGCCTCTTGGACCTTAATCTTCAGCTCCGCCAACAAGAGTCCAACGGCCAGAATATTATGGGCAAAGGTCATAACCAAAAAGATAAAGGGGAATTCAATGACCATTCTTGGCTTCTAAATGCCTATACAAACCAGCCATAGTCAACTGTACATGGTCCTACTCCATACCTTCCAACCCACGACAAGCTGGTTAGAGGTCCGACGGTTTCTAGTCTC